TTAAATCAAGGAAAAAAAAGAACACTCGTTCTTCCTCATGGACAGAGGATCCTATTATTATTGCAGAGCGAGCTAAAGTGCTTCAGCTTGCTGACTCTTATAAACGAGACAAAACAGCTGACAATTTACTTGCATTCCTTAATGCCAACAGAGATTTTCGCGAGCTTAAGGGTCAAGTTAAGAACACATATTGGGAACAATTCCTACAAGGTATCAATAGAACTACAACATTATCAGAAATGTGGAACAAAATTAAAAACATTACCAAACCTTCAGCCCCAGTTCAGCTTCATCATACTCCCGCAGAATATGCTGACATGCTCCTAGCTCAATGGTCTAGTGTCTCACAAATTTCTTCCTTACCCCCAGATATACAGCAGCATTTAAGACATACCAACATTAACAGAAACTTTAATATTGAAATAGCACGCTCCTCACCAGATTTAACAGATCAGTTTCCTATAACCCCCTTTGAATTAACATCAGCATTAGGAAAACCTAAGCAAACTGCCCCTGGTGAGGATGGTATAACTTATAACATCTTGAGCTTACTGAATGATGTCCCTAGCCACCCTCTGCTTGACCTCTATCAAATGAGTCTCTCACAAGGTATCTTGCCAAAAAAATGGACACAAAGTCTCATAATACCAATTCCTAAACCTAACTCTCAAAAATTCAGACCCATTTCCCTTACATCTTGCATGTGTAAAGTCTTGGAGAGAATTGTTCTCAATCGTGTCATGTTTCAGGTCAAAGAAAAACTGGCCCCAAACCTATATGGGTTCATGCCCAAGTGTAGCACACAAACATGCTTTGCTGAATATTTTGTAAACTCCCAGGATGGGACACAGGCAGCCTTTATTGACCTAAAGTCAGCTTTCGATGTAGCGAATGGCGAAATAATATTAGAGCAACTTGCTGAATTTGGAATCAAAGGTAATCTTCTGAGTTGGATAAAGAGCTACCTATCCAACAGGCGTGCTAGTGTCCTATTTAAAGGAGTTAAAAGTACAAGAACAGATGCATTCGAACTAGGCACACCTCAAGGCGGTGTCCTAAGCCCTATGCTCTTCAATATACTTATGCACAAACTTATCCATGACATACCTGTACAACCTACGGAAACAGTTATATGTTATGCTGATGATATTTGTATTATGGCACACAGCAAACCAAGGCTACAAATGTTACTTGATGCATTCTCCAAGAAAGTAGTAGAATGTGGCCTCATAATCTCTGTTGATAAAACAAGGGTTCTTATTCCCCATTCTCTTCATGCTAACTATACTATTAATGGAGTGCCCGTGGAGACTTGTGAGTCTTATAAATATCTTGGAGTCGAGGTTAATGATACAAATCTCATCAGCAACCTGCGTAAAAAACTTGTTGAGCGTCTTAAACCTCTCAGAACTCTTGTTGGCAAAGGATTTGGCATTAACATAAAATATGCTCGTAGTTTTTATATTGCCTTTATACGATCTGTTGTTGATTATTATGCCTTGCATCTTCTTAATTTTTCTCCTAAACAATTACAAGGCCTAGATGTAGTACAGAATGATGCCATGCGCATCATCCTGGGTTGTCCTAGAACTGTCAGAATTGTTAACATGAGAAAGGAACTAAACTTACCTTCCATTTACGAAAGAATAGTTCTACTTAGTACTATGTTTTGCGCCAAAACTTTGAAAAATAATGGTCCCCCCAGCTCTATTCAAATTAAATTGAGATCCATTCTAAACAATTCTGACTGTTCCCTCAATCCGCCGCAAAAAGCTCCCTACAGTGTGTGGCTCAGTTGTTGTGCCTATAATCTTCAGAAACTGAATGTATCTCTTAACCCTGATAAAACTGTTCACTATATTCCCCCTTGGAAAGATGTGGAGGTCTCTCTGCATTATACTCCCATCAGTGTAAAACAAATGTATAACACTGACATTTTGAGATGTATAACATTAGAAGCTATTGACAGTCATCTTCAAATTCTCAAACCGACTGAATCCTATGCCTTTACTGATGGCTCTGTGCAGTTAGGCACTGGTAGAACAGGTTGTGCATGTGCAGTGTATAAAGGGAATGAAATGATCATGACTAGTACACAGAGATTGAACAACTGGGCAAGCACGACACAGACCGAGCTATTGGGTATTTATCTAGCCACTGAATACCTTAAGCTCAATGGTGGTGGAGTTATTTTCTGTGACTCTAAAAGTGCTCTGCAGTCCTTAAATAACCCATCACAATGTATGTCGGAAGTAGCTTGTAATATTAAATGGAATGTAATTTTTGCCAATGATAATAATTCTTGTATAAAATTTGTGTGGATCCCATCCCATGTTGGAGTTGAAAAACATGACTTTGTAGATCAATTGGCCAATGAGGCTTGCAGGAAAGAAAACATTGATTATGATTTTGGACTATCTAATGCAGTTATTAGAAACATACAAATTAAAGAAATTAATTCAGATTTAGAAGAACTAAGAAATGCACAGAGACCTGAAAGCTGCAGTATTAAAAGTTATGACAAGTTTTGTAATAATAGGTATTTGTATGGTCAGCACAGTAACCGGACCAGGCAATGTGATGTAGTAATTGCGCGAATTCGCCTTGGCTATAGACACATCTGGCAGGTTAGTGAGGCTGAGCCACTACCAGAATATTCAGATTGTAAACTCTGTGATAAACCTTTAATGCATTCACTAGAACACTATATTGATGAATGTGAAACCGTAAAGGACTTTAGACCTCCTGGCCTATTGTACCACCAACTGTGTAACTATTTTATTGACTCAGGTGTTCTGGACGACATCCTAACAATTTACCCAAAATTTGCATGTCCATTTTAAAGAATGAAGAACAATTTCTACTTATATTCTAAGCTGCATCACTTATGAACCCATCCCTGCCCTTGTGTGGCAGTGCACAATAGAAAGTTGTTTTCACATATCCATACATTAACACATTGATTGTAACCATGATATATATATGCTTCAGCCTACAGTTTAGACCTATTGTCTTATGTATGACCCTCTGTCCTGCGTGACAGTGAATACTAGCATTAACCTCAATTTAATAAGACTATCAAAATCCTCAGATTAGGCAAAATTGTAATTAATTTTGTCAATAAAGATGTTAATAATAATAATGGGTGTTAGTCGACTCTTGTGGATGGGGACCATTCCCCATCCTGGGGACCTTAAAAGGCCATTCCCCATCCTGAGGAATGGTCGAATGCTGCACACATGTCCCAAGTATACTTGAATTTCCCACAAACGCCGCAAAGCACAGCACGAGGAAAATAGCCGCACGGCTACACATGAGATATGCCCCAAGGCAAAGGAACTAGCACCACAAGGCCACTGCAATGAGTGGACCGGAAGGTCCCAGAGACCAAAGAAAGATTCACGCCCAAAATCAAAGAGTGGGTCCACGCCCAAAATCAAAGAGTGGGTCCACGCCCAAAGTCAAGGAGTGGGTCCACGCCCAAAGTCAAGGAGTGAGTCCACGCCCAAAGTCAAAGAGTGGGTCCACGCCCAAAGTCAAAGAGTGGGTCCACGCCCAAAGTCAAGGAGTGAGTCCACGCCCAAAGTCAAAGAGTGGGTCCACGCCCAAAGTCAAGGAGTGAGTCCACGCCCAGAGTAACTACAGTTCCGGCACCTTGTGAGTGACCCGCGTGAGGAAACTAACACCTTGTCGAGGTTTACAATGACGGGAAAACAGTCAGGAATAAAAACGGAGACAGCAAAACCCAACAAGAACCCTTGAAGAAGCTACACAACTCCTTAGCAAGGAGGCTACCGGATATCCTTCCTAACAAATTCAAGGTGATGAAGATGGGAAAGGAAAAACAACCAGAGAAACATTTAATTGTGAATCTTTAACCAAATGTTCCCAGATTTCAACACGAGGCAGTTGGACTTTTTTTTTTTTTTACACCTAATGCCTCTGTTTACCTGGCAGTAAATCTGTACCTGGGAGCTAGTCAACTGTTATAGGTTGCATCCTTGGCAAGGTCAGTTGCTGGCCTACAAGGGTCGCTTAGCCTAGCAAGCTGCCTCTCCTCGACAACAAGAACCAAACTGGTAGAGACAGAAGAAAACGGATATTATGGTAGACTTAGACAAGTTTATCTACGGAACTCGCTGTTATAAGTTCCACAAATACAATAAAAATAATGTCAAGTAACAATATTGGCGACGGACGGCCGTAAATATAAAATATACTTTATATATATATATATATATATATATATATATATATATATATATATATATATATATATATATATATATATATGTCAGTGTACCAATAGCTACTGCGGACGACATGTTCAAACTTGTGACTCCCCCTCAGCACTATTCACGCTCTGCTCTATTTCTGTTGAGGGTCCGAAAAATAAGGTTACAACCAAATTTAACTCTCCCGAGGTCTAATATAATACGTACGTATACTCAATTAGTCCTAAGATTCCGAATGCTAGGCCTATAATTTCTTATTTAGCTCTAGGACAGACAAAGTTAGGTTTAGGGGTTTTAGATTTTAATATACCTACCCTTTTTATCTGTACAAAACGTGAACTTTTTGATGCAACAGCCCATGTTTTGTACAATCCATCCATAATACCTATAGGACCTATTATTTTTTGGAGGATAGGCTGATTTTTTTCAAGACAAACTTGCAATAACGGTAAGGAGGTATGGTTTACGGTACCCTATACCTGATCAACCAGGCTGTGATGCGTACGTCAGGCTGAGAGCAGCCGCGTCCAACAGCCTGGCTGACCAGTCCAGCAACCAGGAGGCCTGGCCGACGACCGGGCCGCGGAGACGCTAAGCCCCGGAAGCACCTCAAGGTAACCTCAAGGTAACCCTAAGCCATGCACGCTTGCCCGTGACCCGTATTGATCAGGCAGAGCGCCAGGAGCCACCGCAAAAGTCAACCACTGACTAAAATATTATGTTGAAGGTAAGAACTTGTAGACAAGAGTAAATCCGAGGTCTCACCTGCTGGGTAACAGCAGGCTTGGCCTCCCCACAGCTGCTGATGACCTCTTTTTGTTCCACAGATCCTTGGGGTTTTCCGTTTGGCAGCTTGTGGGTGTCTTGCCTGTCGGGGGGACCATTCTTGAGGAGGGAGATGTCCTTCGATGCTGACGGCGGGGCACTGACTGTTACATTCCCTCTAGTACCTAAGTTGATATTGCTGGCGTTGGCTCCCGCTGCTGCGTCGCCTTCGTCTAATGGCACGCTAACGAAGGCTGGGTTATCGTGCCCGCACGAGACGCTAGAGTCATCATCCTCTTCTCTCCGTCGGTATAACTGGCACACTACCGGGCTCTTCGCGGGGAACATCGCTCTAGTTACTCCACCCCCAACTAAAGCTTTTCCAAAACCGCAGCCGAACCTCAGCACCAAAGTCACAAGCCCTAGAGTGACCTAGAATTATTTGAAGACACCACACACATGCGCGACACAACTCGCTACTGGATATCGTTGGCCATCAGCGCGAGCTGTGTTGCGCGCGTCACCACCGCCCAGGACTGAATGGTGGCCACTCCTGTGTTCCCCCCTAGTCATCACCTGGCTAGATGCGGTGACGCTGCAATATCCGATTGACTCAGAGCCGCCGTACGCGCGTTTTTACCTGCTTCCAGCGATGATGTACTTTCCAAGTATTTTCCCTAAGCAACAGTCATGTGATGTGTCTTCTTAACTCTCTCCTCTCTCTCTCATATCTTTCCTTATCCTTCCCCTCTCTCTCATCTCTTTCCTTATCCCGTGATTGTCTGTGTCCGACTGTCTCTGTGTTTTTCTGTCTGTCTTCCTGTCTCATTACACAGGTCGACCTGGATTCTGTGCATGCCTATCTCTGTCTCTGTATCTTTATCTCTGTTGTACAAATAATCTATTAAGTTTCCCATTGGCATGGGGCTGGTCCGCCAGTGGGAGGATCCTAATGGTGTGAAATGATAAAACACTCTTATAGCTTCTTGTTGGTTTTGAGAAATAGCCAACAGGAAACTATTAAGAGTATAAGGAACGCTTAATTAGAGGTAAGGAACATTATATTGTTAAAACTAGACAATAATGATAGCTGGTAATTTATTCAGCTCGCCTTCAAGATGTTGTTTTCTGACATTGTTTATCCGTATCAAGACACTCGTTATCCGTTGTGTCGAAGGTCGTTTAATTGTAAACGACCTTCATCCACGTGTTGACAACCATATCTTCTCTCGCTCCGCGCTTCTCTAGAAAAAAATTATATATATATATATATATATATATATATATATATATATATATATATATATATATATATATATATATATATATATATATATATAATTTTTTTAAATAAGGAAGGGAGTACCACCTCTGGCTGGAAGAAGTGGGACTCTTAGCCTCAGAGGAAACCACACAAAACATTAGAGAGAATGTTTAGGTCCCCTCCAATACAGTTTCTGTGTGCTTTTCTCCTACCATCCCCTTCCTTTTGTATTTTTTGTGCTTTATTATATATTTAAAGGTTACAAGATTAGGTTACTCATTGGTTGACACAATGAGTGCTTAAAGGTTATGGATCTCTTGAAGCTCCTCCGTTTCCTGACAGGAACCGAGGATGCAGCAGGCGTTTCCCCTCTGGATCGCCACACTGAGGCGCTGAAATAAAAAACTGGAAGCCCTTGGGTTTCTCGTGACGTCAATGATCCAACAGCCCAATTCCTTGAGAAATCCCAAGGCACTCCTACCCCAGGAGCCATGCGTCTCAGACGCTATGGGAACAAAGGTGTATTGACCTTCCAATCGCCTGTATTTAACTGATTTGTCTAATAGTAATTAAATTAAATAAATAAATAAATAAATAAATAAATAAATAAATAAATATATATATATATATATATATATATATATATATATATATATATATATATATATATTCTTATTTAAAAGTTATTTTCTTATTATTTCTTATTTATTTCTTATTTAAATATACAAGAATTCTTACATTCTTGTACAGCCACCAGCACGCACAACGTTTCGGGCAGGTCCTTAATCCTATATTTTCCCGGAATACGATCCGCCAAATCGTTTAAGAACCAGGTACCCACTCACTGCTGGGTGAACAGAGCCTACAGTTAAGGAATAGCACTCAGTCAATCCTCCCCGGCCAAAGCGCTCCTTTCGCCTGATGCACCCATTCACCTACCATTAAATTAAAATTAAATTAATTAACCCAAAGATTTTTAATTCCAGTTCTGGATATCCATTTTGAAAGGAAACAGTTATCTTACTACCCTCATACTCAGGTAGCGTGGCCGAGTGGTCTAAGGCGCTGGATTTAGGCTCCAGTCTCTCAGGAGGCGTGGGTTCGAATCCCACCGCTGCCAAGTTCCTTTTTAGAAAGACTGTAATTACTAATTATGCGCACCTAGGTAGCCTGAGGAGAAGCGCGAGGCAGCCTGTTGGGCACGAGGGGAAGAACGAGAGGACACACGTGAAGGGGGGGATGGGGCCGGGCTATTTTTTTTTTTTTGGGGGGGGGCAAAACCCCCCCTATTTACTCCTTAACATATTATTTACATTTCACTCATTTTTTTATTATTTGGAACGTGATCCTGTTTTCTATGAGAAGGACCCAACCACTTGGGCTGGACGATAGAGCAACGGTCTAGCATCATGCAGGTCGGTGTTCAATCCCCGACCGTCAAAGTGGTTGGGCACCATTCCTTCCCCCCGTCCCATCCCAAATCCTTATCCTGACCCCTTCCAAGTGCTATATAGTCGTAATGGCTTGGCGCTTTCATCCCTGATAATTCCTTCCTTCTATGAGAACGATTTAAAAATAATATTCGTACGCAAAAATAATATGAAAACGGAAAGAATACTGTGCAGCGGGGAAAGTGCCTCATACAATGAGGCAGTTTCTAGGAGCGGGGAGCCGGTCGGCCGAGCGGACAGCACACTGGACTTGTGATCCTGTGGTCCCGGGTTCGATCCCGGGCGCCGGCGACAAACAATGGGCAGAGTTTCCTTCACCCTATGCCGCTGTTACCTAGCAGTAAAATAGGTACGTGGGTGTTAGTCAGCTGTCACGGGCTGCTTCCTGGGGGTGGAGGCCTGGTCGAGGACCGGGCCGCGGGGGACACTAAAAAGCCCCGAAATCATCTCAAGATAACCTCAAGATACAAGTCAGCTCCTATGTATATCCACCCAAACCCATTCATATATATGTCTAACCTACGCTTGAAACAAACAAGCGACCCCACGTCTATACCGGTAATTAGTGTTCCATAATAGTACAAACCCTATTTCCAACCCCTTATTTATCCATGTCTTTCCTAAATCTGAAATTATCGAATTTATACCAACTATTTCGTGTTGCTGTATTTAAGACATTGTTAGCATCTTTGTTTTACCTTTGGTGTACCTCAGTCATGTCACTCTTTGCATATCTTGGAGAGAGAGCAACGGAACGCCCACTCACAGGAGGAGTCCCCACGAGGCGGGGCCCAAGAGCTAATAGCCCGGTTCTACAGGCCCCAAATAGTAAATACTGCTGTTCAACAACGGGTGATGTTTTGACTGCTGGGTGTTCCTGCTGGCCTTAGTTAAAGGCCCCGCCTTAGACAACCTAGACGACCTTACCTTCCCAAAGGCAGGACATGTTGTCCAGCTTAGTGAGGACATGTTGTCCAGCTTAGTGAGGACATGTTGTTCAGCTTAGTGAGGACATGTTGTTGTTCATCTTAGTGAGGACATGTTGTTCAGCTTAGTGAGGACATGTTGTTGTTCATCTTAGTGAGGACATGTTGTTCAGCTTAGCGAGGACATGTTGTTCAGCTTAGCGAGGACATGTTGTTCAGCTTAGTGAGGACATGTTGTTCAGCTTAGTGAGGACATGTTGTTGTTCAGCTTAGTGAGGACATGTTGTTGTTCAGCTTAGTGAGGACATGTTGTTCAGCTTAGTGAGGACATGTTGTTCAGCTTAGCGAGGACATGTTGTTCAGCTTAGCGAGGACATGTTGTTCAGCTTAGTGAGGACATGTTGTTCAGCTTAGTGAGGACATGTTGTTCAGCTTAGTGAGGACATGTTGTTCAGCTTAGTGAGGACATGTTGTTCAGCTTAGTGAGGACATGTTGTTGTTGTTCAGCTTAGCGAGGACATGAAACGTGAAATCATGCCCTCCCTCCTCCCCCCCCCCCTTTTCCGCAAGGTCGAACTACTGACCTGTCCCAAGATGCAACCCCGACAACAGTTACCCATAACCCCCATGTACCTATATATTGCTAGGTGAACAGCGGCATTAGATGAAAGGAAACGTACTCAACCATTTCCATCCCTTCCGGAAATCCAACTCGAGATCCCCCGACTGTGAGTCGACAACGAAGCCAACTGTGCTACGAGACCCTGGCATGAACGCTCAAGCGAGTAAAACATGCTCACGTAACGCTTAAACAACGTTGATAAATCTTGGCAACAACGTCATTTGCCGGGGTAGAAGAAGGGGGGAGGGGGGAGGGGGGAGGGGGGAAAGGGGGATGGGGGGGGCATTATTTGTTAACGGACTCGCGTCATAACCGACTCACAAACTTAGGACAAAAAAAGTCAAGGAACAATAATTAGAGAGACGCACACTCGCCGCCCGGTGTTCCCTTCCCTACTGGGAATGTCGGGTTCAAGGTATCACCCTCTCAACCAACTGCATGTAACGGGACAACTGTATATAAAACAAGAGTGAATTATTCTATCAATATCGATTTCGGGCAATAGGTTATAGCAGTAGTAGTAGTAGCAGTAGTAGTAGTAGTAGCAGTAGTAGTAGTAGTAGTAGTAGCAGTAGTAGTAGTAGTAGTAGTAGTAGTAGCAGTAGTAGTAGTAGTAGCAGTAGTAGTAGTAGTAGTAGCAGTAGTAGTAGTAGTAGCAGTAGTAGTAGTAGTAGCAGTAGTAGTAGCAGTAGCAGTAGTAGTAGTAGTAGCAGTAGTAGTAGTAGTAGTAGTAGTAGTAGTAGTAGTAGTAGTAGTAGTAGTAGCAGTAGTAGTAGTAGTAGCAGTAGTAGTAGTAGTAGTAGTAGCAGTAGTAGTAGTAGTAGCAGTAGTAGTAGTAGTAGCAGTAGTAGTAGCAGTAGCAGTAGTAGTAGTAGTAGCAGTAGTAGTAGTAGTAGTAGTAGTAGTAGTAGTAGCAGTAGTAGTAGTAGTAGTAGCAGTAGTAGTAGTAGTAGTAGTAGTAGCAGTAGTAGTAGTAGTAGCAGTAGTAGTAGTAGTAGCAGTAGTAGTAGTAGTAGTAGTAGTAGTATCAGTAGTAGTAGTAGTAGTAGCAGTAGTAGTAGTAGTAGTAGTAGTAGTAGTAGCAGTAGTAGTAGTAGTAGTAGTAGTAGTAGCAGTAGTAGTAGTAGTAGTAGTAGCAGTAGTAGTAGTAGTAGTAGTAGTAGTAGTAGTAGTAGTAGTAGTAGTAGTTGTAGCAGTAGTAGTAGTAGTAGCAGTAGTAGTAGTAGTAGTAGCAGTAGTAGTAGTAGTAGTAGCAGTAGTAGTAGTAGTAGTAGCAGTAGTAGTAGTAGCAGTAGTAG